CCCCCCCCCTCCTTCCCTCACCCCGCTCCACCAGGGTTTGGCAGGGTCATCGAATGGTCTTCGGGACGCCGTTGGAGCTATGGCTGCTATGCAGCTGGCAACGACGAAAACAAATACATTTTCGTTTTTCTCAGTGGTGTGTCACGTTTTAAAGTGGGGGCTCGCTTTACGTCGGCTGACTCTGACCGTACCACCATTCATTGGATTTGCCTCTGGACTTGCTCCTGTGTGTGTGTTGTTTGGTGGTGTGTTTGGCCAGGCAGTGCATGTCCTGCATGTCGCCATTCGCCTCGAGGCAAGGCCCCTGAACGGCGCTTCTCTCCAGGCCGGTCCGCAGTCCGCTGTCAACACCGGCAGCAGGCCCGTCTCCAGGACTCCGGCCCGCTGGCCCGTGACCGCCCCCCCCCTCCCTCTTTCCTTAGTTTCTGTATTTCCCTACCACTAGGATCCGGCCTGACTGCGTGACCCGAGAAATGGGTGGCTCCAGTTCGCTATGAACAAGCAGTCGTAATAACCCTTGTTGAAGTTGAAGTTGAAGTGAAGGCATATGCGATAGAAAGGGGGTTTGCAAATTAAAGATATGTAATTAAAAAGGGGACCCAGGACTTGAATTTGCTATCACAGAGACCTCTATAGGAAAAAAAATCTTATTTTGGGAACTTCAAGTACTTGATTAGAAACAATCTAGAGAGAAAGACTTACTCTGTAACTCAAATCGTTTCTGAGTTATGGTGGATTTTTTTTAGACACTCACCCCGAAAGTTCCATGCGCTCCAAATTTTGTGCCGTGTAGTTGGGATACTAATACTTCTTATCAGAAAGGTCTAAAGTACAACTTTTATTGAACGCTCTTTAAAATTTAACATTTTTCTTTGTTTTAAGTATTGGTCCATTTTACTGATCCAAAATTTTCTAATTTTGATGAATTAGTAGTATTTTGGTGAATAAAAATCATTGTTTCTTTCTGTAGTTGAAATATTAACAAAAACTGTTCAATAGATGACTGGCCCCAACCCTGTATCTCAAAAAACAAAGCGCAAGGAACGATTTGTCTCAGAAAAGTTTACGTAAACTTTTAACTTTTCCTATTCTTTTCTACGTTTAGTTTTAGTTGGTAGGTGGTCATATTGTACTCTCAATGAGGCTTTATTGATGTTAGAATGGTTATAATTCAGTACCCTTTTAATTTTATAGCCTGATATAATTTTTTTATGTTAGGAAACCAACTTTTGGTCATTTTCTCAGATTTCTGCGATACATTTCAGTCCTGGGGGCCCCCTCTTCAAAGTTTGAAAGATGAGTCGCTTTGCTTGCATTTTCCTTTGACAAAGTCAACCCACCGAGCAATAGCTTCCAAGCCCCTGGCCGAGTAGACTCGCCGAGAGTTATGGGGCGGCCCAGCGTCCGAATCTGCTTCCAAGCCGAGCGTCTCAACCCTGCGCCCCGCCCGCTTCGACTGACGGGCTAGCATGCAGAGAGCTGACCGGTCGTCAACAACGTGCAATACGCTCATCTCCGCCAGCGTGAGCCTCGGAGTGATTTTAGTTCGTTCGGCAGACGGTACGCAGTCGAGTGTGGCAAAAAATCTTTTCTGAATCACTCGAAATTTATTTTAATGGCAAATGGCCAGGGTGCCGGCGGTCGGGCTGCTTTGTTACTGGGGAAGTGACTCAACAGAAAATATTTCGTCAACGACATTACAGAGGAGTAGAAAGATAATAAATAAAAGGCGCTTTTTCTTGCGTTTTGAGTTGAACACCAACTAACCGCTTCCTTATCCAGAACCCAGGTGCATTAAGGGAGCGACAGTAAAATATTTCCCCACAAATTTTGGGAATGCCAACAACCCGAGGTGCATCAGGAGGAGGGGGGTGGGGGGTGGAAGCGGGCCACCCGAGTCCCGGTCGGGAGGTGACGACGGATTTTACATGTGGCCCGCGTTACCGTTCCGTAGACGGCAGGTTCGAAACCCGATACGGTGGCATTGACTCTGAGCTTGCCTCGGGGTGTCGGCCCGGTGCGGCGTTGTACTTCGTCAGTGTGCTCGCATATGTGTGTGTGTGTGTGGGTGGGTGGGTGTGTGGAGGGAGGGGGCGGGACCGCAGAGGGGTGCAATATGTGAGGACAAGGATGATCCGTTGCCCCTTGCTGCAGCTGGAGCAGAAGGTTTTGGGAGGACATAATTCGTCACTTTTGAGAGCCCATTATACTGCTGTTTGAAAAATCGTTTCGTATTGGAGGCTGGGCTCCGTAAGGCTGCCGCACACCTAGAGTTGCTCAGCGTACCCCCCCCC